TTTAGGAACGCGTGTTTTGACTAAAGGATATGTCGTGACTTTTACGTACGCAGTACAAGTGAAAGGAAAACAACCTAACCGCGCGACACGGTGGGTTGCGCCAATTATCATCGATACTATCCAGTTGTAGCACAAGCGCTACCACGTACGTGAACGTTGTTAGCGCTAGCGCAGACTGCGACTTTTCCATGACGAATCCCCTACCTACGAATCGCGTGTAAAAATTGCGCGTGAAATCGCTACGTCTGCGGAACGTGCCAGAACTGCAACCGTGTCGCGATTCTGGTCCGCTTGCGACGACGTTGCAGAGAATCAAACTTTTGATTGTTTGCTCCCCAATCCTCCACAAATTGTTCTAGGCATTGCTTCGAAATCGCATGTGCGCATCGACGGATCGCTTTGCAGGTTTGAGTGTTGCGAGGTGACGAAAGCAACCAAAAGAATCGCAGCGTCTGCGCTAGGCTTTACTTTCGCCAGGCTACAAGGCGTAGGCCAGTCACTAACACTGGAATCCACGGGTAGAGTTGCAGACAGGATGAAAATACAGTCAAAGCGCCCGTACTCCAGAAAAATATATATGCTTGTTCTGCTCCATTCGCGCGTAGGCTGATGAAATATAAAACCCACAATCAAGGAGTGTACAAGCGATTTCATATAACGCAGGATAAGAATCGAAGCCGCGGAATAGCAGATTTCAGAAACTATGACCGCGACTTTGGCACAACAACCAGCAACATTAGCAGTAGCCCTTCCGCGTCTAGCAGGGAAACCGTTGCCTTGTGCTTTATGAATCTCAGCGAGTGCACGTTCAACCCCCCCCCCGGCCGAGTTTTCTTAAACCCGTAACAACCGTCAACGTGTTTAAAGATCGATTTCCATTGATCGATTTTCGAGCAGCTCCACAAAATGACGCCAAGAAGGGTTAACGCAATCAACCCATCGGCGAGTACCGACCGAGCGTCGGATTGTAAAAACCAAGTGAAGAAACAAACAGTACTGCTCCTTTAGCGAACGGGTGTCACTTTCCCCCGGGCGTAGATGAGAGGGTGCCGCTACGTGGCAGCACTAAACCCTAACCTAACCGAACTCTAATCCTAACACCGTTGCAGCGGCCACATCACGTGACCTCCCTCCATGCTACGCCCGGCGGAAAGTGCATCCAGTTTAGAAACGACGCACCAGATCACGCGGCGGCCTCCGGGTGTTGCTATTAAACGGGCGTGGAGGGACAATCAGTTCGCGACTTACAACTAGTCCAAACGATCTTGGCACTAGAAAGATTGCCCACTTACTTCTGCTAGACGATGGCGCCTTATATCCCTGAACCCTTAACCCTAATTCTAACACTATAGGCTGCCACGTTCCGGTACTGTCCCTCACGCCCGGTATTTAGCATTTCCCCCAGCGTCCGTCGTGTGCCATACTGTACCAACATAGGTTTACGTACACTCTCCCGCCCTCGCTCCGTTCTGCCTCTCATCTCCTCGCACGATCCCCGCTTTAGCGTGCCGAAATAGATTCCTATGATATGTGACGCCGTCGCTATGTGTCTGTGCACATCATCCCGTCTCGCGCGTGACCACAGCGCACTTGCGAGCTTTTCAAAAAATATAATGCGCTAAATAATATACGAAATCTACGTTACTACAAAGTGCTTAATGATTTCTTCTACTCTCTTTCGCCTAGTTATGCCACAATTCCTGTAAAACGCCGTTACAAGATGCTCCTCTGCAACACAGCATGTACACCGCACGCAGCGCTGCCGCACACTGACAACACACAATATATATATATAGTACTATTATATATACTTTAGGCTAATAAGAGTAGAGTAAGTGTAGGAGAAAATATGCAATCACAACAATAAAGTAACAGCTTGTGTATATCACACATTTTGGGGTCGAGGTCAATGACTACGGGCTGAGACACTGACTGCTTTCCGCAGCTGAGCTATGCCGTAAACATCTAGACCAACCTAATAGTAATTCTCTCGAAGAGTAAATTGTATGAATACCAGTAATGTAATATCGGTTAGTCAGCGCCTATATACCATTCGATACCAGTTAGAAGCTAGCCCTACGGCGAACGACGTCACGAACGTTGAACGCATTCATAACGTCTTTAGCTTCCGGCGATAAAGACAAAGT